CACCCCCCCCCCCCCCCCCCCCCTTCTTCCTTCCGTCTTGCATCAAGCAACCCTGCACCCACCTGAGGTATTACAGCAGCCATTTTGTGCCTCTTCACACCAAGCCTGGTTTCCAAATTTGTCCCTGTAACTCTATTGGGAGCTCTAAGTGAGTGCGTTTGTGTGTGTGTGTGTGTGTGTGTGTGTGTGTGTGTGTGTGTGTGTGTGTGTGTGTGTGTGTGTGTGTATAGCCATAGCCTGCAGGAAAGCAGCAGCATTGTTAACAGCTACAGTAGGGAAAGCCTCCAGACAAAACTCAGTGACCCCTAGTAGGAGAGTGGACTGGTTCCAGGTGCTTTCCTAAACTCACGATTTTTCCAACAGCTTTTGGCTGCAGTTCCTCCCTCAGGCACTGCAGAATGCTTATCGGGATCTTAGAGTCTGAGGCGAATGTTTGTAAGCAAAACGAGTGCTGTGTCACCTGTGTCATCTTTATTGCACGCTCTGCGGGAGTATGTGGAAACGATACCCTGAGCTTTTAGATGTTGTCCACAAGCCTGCATGTGTAATATGAGCGCAATGATCCTAAAATGATGTCGATAGCCAAATATGAACTAGTGCTCAAGTGCCCTCTGAGAAATTACTTTGAGTAAGCAGTCAAGTAACATTATGGTTTATAGCCTTTTGGACAAGGATTCCTTCACTGGGGGAGGTTGATTTTAGTAATACACGTCCCAGTGATTTTGCTCCCTGCACTTCAGTAAGTAGACGTGTTCATCGCTGCCTAAAAAAAGTTGCGTTTTAGCCATGCTGGCAGCGAGGCTGTGTGGATGTCAATGAAGGTCCGTCAGTCGGTCCACCACTTTGTTACAGATATCTCAAAAACAACTGAAATGATTGTTGTTACAGATGTTCATGCTCCCCAGATGATAAATTAAATTGACTTTGACAATCCCCTAACTTTTTCTGTAGCGTCATCATCCGGTCAACAATTATTTTTGTCCAATACTTTGGTTTATGACCAATGTTAGCACGCTAACAGGCTAAACTACAACGCACCTGGTAAATAGCATCGTCACTGTGTGAGAACATTAGCATGCTAATGTTAGCATTTAGCTCAAAGCACCAATGTGTGTAAGTGCAGCCTCACAGAGCTGCGAGCGTGGCTGTGGACTCCTAAATCTTGTTAAGTGTATAAAAACAATGACTTTAGTTTGGTTGCAGGGGAATACTTCAGAACCCACCCATAACATGTCCATAATAATAATTCCGTTACAAAGGGGCATTATTCATAATTGCAGCTTGAAGGGAAGTTTACGTCATCTGAGGCATACTCTGAAACTGCCAAAACATTACCTTGAGCTGAAATTCTTAAACAAGGCAGTTAACAGAGACCGATAAGAGGAATAAAGAATTTGGTCACATTTTTTTTTCTAAAATGAATGACACTATTAATAGAGCCGGGGCAGCATTTTGCAGATGTGTGATACTTTCTCATCTCCTGCTTCCTGCTTCACTGGAAATAGGGAGGAAGTTGAGGCTAGTTGGCTGAGATGCGTCTGCTGAGCCACGTGACCAGAAATGAGACGCATGCTGAGAATAAACTGATTGACCGGTAAGGTCATTGAAGATTTTAAGAACAGTGAAACCTCACAGAAAAACATGAATGAAAGTTGCAGAGCTGCAGTCAGGCAACAAAAGGTCACTGATGTTTTTTTCAACGTAGGAAAATTCAAGGCTGCATGGCTTTCACTTTTGTAGGAATTGCTTCTAACTTGCTATGAGTTTTGGTTCTCTGAAAGTGTGCAGCTGCAGGCTCAAATCTATGTGACTTCTGTCTGCTGCATGGAGTTAGCAGGCCTGCAGAATCAAAAGTCAGGGCTGGTTTGAAGAGAGAGCCTTCTAGGAAGAACCACAGAGCTAGAGCTCGGGGTATAGCCGCAGAGTTACTCGAAAACCTGGCCACAACTGCAGATTAAGGCCTGTATGTCACACACTCATGCACTTGCACACACGCAGAGGAATGGATGTTTTAAGCAACACCCTAACAACTTGCTCTGTAGGAAATAGTTTTTGTAGCAGTGCATCTAGACATGCATTAAAGCATAAGACAGCCATTATTCTATACTTTTCTTTTTCGTCAATGAATATAATGAATAAAAATATCAATGCATTAGTACTTATCGCCATACTTTTTGACTGAAGACAAAAAAAAAGGACCACAAATATAAACTTTCATTATTTAAAGACCAAGTAACCACCTAAACCAATAGAATCCTTTCCCTTATTTTGTGCATTTGTTGGTGAATATTTTCAGTTTGTTTTAGATTAACACACATTTATTGTGCTGCAGTTGTTCGTGTCTACAGCACCCATGATTATCATAATGAAGCAACATGTAACCCCATGTTTAAGTTTTTGGACAACATTGGAGGTCTATAGCAGAGGGGGATATGCTATGTCAGGCTTTGGAAACACAGGTTCTTCTTTAGTATGATCAATAAATGATTGGTGTTGAATAGGATTAAAATACCCTACTGTTTTACACTGACTTTTTGCACCCATCTTCTCACACCACTTAGATACAAGTGCCAAGCATTAGTGAAATTAGTAACTTTCCGCACCTCAAATGGCTCATCTCAAACATCCGATTCTGACTTTCAGAGTGCTCATTTTCATTTCCAAACAACGTTTCCACTGTCAGTCCTGCTTTACACTCAGCAGTCATCAACCTTTTCTCACTCTATTAACTGAATTCTCTTTCTCCGTCTGTTTCTGTGAGCCCACGAGTCTGTAAAACTCTCTGAAATGCAGTAAAGTCTAGATACAACAGTTGGAGAGCCTGTAATATCCATGAATGCATTTTGAACATACAGTTTCACTCTCCATAAAATACTCAACTGTCTCTGTGCTAAGAAAGTCTCAAGTCTGTTATATATAATATCTCAAAACTAATGCTCTTACAAAGGACTATGCTCTAAGTTGTGGCTGTAACACACAACCCAATAACAGTTTTCATGATTATAACTACACAGACTGCTGTAAAGAGAAACATTCCCCGATTGCAATGTGGTTCTGAGCTTTCTTCTGTCCTTTTCCTTCCTCTTCTTCCGACCACGTTTGCATTCCTTCTTCCTTAGTCTCTTTCTCACCCTTCTCATTCTCTGTTCTGCTTCACATATCCCTTCATTACCCACTCCTGCTCTCCCTCCTCTGTACAGGCTGCATGAAAACAGAGACAGACACACACGCAGTATGTAGGACAATCAGGCACAAGAGAGTGAGTCAGCCCTTAACTGTGCAATACAGTGTTTTGCTCTTAGGTCAGCTGCTTTGAATTTTCAATCTGTCTCTCTGCCTATCTGACACCCTTCTTTCCTTCCGCATGGTAACAGAAAAAGCCAGAGGAGGTCAGATAAAGCCTAGGGAGGGAAAAAAAGAGAGAGAGAGAGAGAGAGAGAGACACACAGAGTGTGTGTGAGGCTGACTCCAGATTAAAGGACAACATTCTGGGAATTCCTTTCTGCTGAGAGCATCCTCCCCCTCACCAACACCACCACCATCCTCCTCACTGCGGATCCCTGCTCTGCCTCAGGAGGAAATGGCTTCTCCTGCCCCAGAAGACCTCCTGACCTCTTGGGCCAGACCTCCAAACTTGTCTCACTTGCAACATCCGGACCTGTACCACCAGCACACCGCTCAGGAGTATGACAATGGGCTGCATGCATGTGAGCGCGGGGGCATTTGGTTTTGTGTTATGTTATGTGCGAGTGCTTGCATGTGACTAAGTGAGCACCTGCTTTTGGATAGATTCATGTGCTTCAGTGCCACGGGCTGTGTGTCTGCAAATGTATGCACATTATCTGTAGCATGTGTTTGATTATTGTGGTTTATTCCAACTTATTTTCATTAAGTGTTGGCCATCTTTCTTGTGGGTAATAAAACACTGTACTGTACTCACCAAGTTAAAAGGTATCTTGTGGAGTGTTTGACCGCTGATTACTATGAAGCATTGAATTTGCGTGTTGGTCCCCAAGGACGCACATGCATGCCACAGCCAGGGGGCCGTTAGCCTAGCTTAGCATAAATACTGGAAAGAGGGTAAACGGCTAGCCTGGCTCTAACAAACATTAAAACATCCCCCTTGCAGCACTTCTAACGCTTACGAATTAATACAATGAAATATAATATGTTCGTTATTTAATGGAGCTACTGGTATGTGGACTTTTTAAACTTTGGAAAGAGCTAGGCTAAGCTAATCGCCCCCTGGCACTAGCTTTATATTCAACAGACAGACATGAGAGTGGTATCAAACTTCTTATCCAACTCTTTTATAGTCTGAGAAAAACACTTATTCATTTTCCCTTGCCGACAACCTGTTGATGTTCTAACCACTTGTGTTTTTTTGCCCCATCAGATTTGGTTGTAGTAATGTTGCTGTGTTCCCAGATCTCAGCAATGACTTTGATGAGCACAAAAGGTATAATTTCCCATCGAAATGATGGCCCCAA